GGAGAGGAGAAAATAGGAAGTTTAAAGGAGAATGCGTGTGTGTGTGTGTGTGTGTGTGTGTGTGTGTGTGTGTGTGTGTGTGTGTGTGTGTGTGTGTGTGTGTGTGTGTGTGTGTGCGTAGAGGATCTCGTTGGTCAGCAGCTTCGCGGCGTCCCTCTTCCTCGGAGGTTACGCCTCCATCGACTACAGCGACGGTACTCAGACTGTTTCATGAAATCATCACACTTATTATTTATTGACACCAAAAAAACACCATCATTTTATTTTGTAATTATTATTATTTAAAATGTATTTTACTGTTATTTTTATATCATATTTATTGAAAATGTTTTATTATTATTGTTCTATTTGTTTTCCCTCGACACATCAGTAGAAAACATGAATGACATATCTTGATCTATTTCCTGAGCTACGGTCGGATCGGGTTTCCTTTGTTTCATAGAGTGAACAAACTAGTGATGAGCCGATGAGCAGTTCTAAGGTTGCTTGGTCTCATTACCCACATATTGTAATGTTTGTCTAACTGTTATTACACCTTCCGGACGTCAATGATGTCTCTGTTACCAACATCCCTTCTGTTATTGTATAAAGTTCGTGAAATAAGATGCACATAAAAAAAGAGGACAATGAGAAGGGGAGCGTTTCAATGTGTTCCCTTATTGCAGATGTTTGCTCCTCCCTGTAACTGCATTGCAACTGGTGAAATGTTCTCAACTGTCTTCTAAATAAAGAATTGTAAAAATAAATATCTCTGATCTCCCCTCAGGCTCGGGGATGAACCTGCTGGACATCCGGAGCAGAAACTGGTCTCAGATCTGTTTGGAGGCGGTTTCTCCTCAGCTGGACCTCCTGCTGGGAGACCCCAAACCCTCCTCCTCCATTCTGGTGGGTGTTTCACACTCATGAGGACAGACAGGAAGTGGGGACACCTTTTAATGTGACACCTTCCCCGTCCTGCAGGGTCCCGTCTCCTCGTACTTTGTGCAGCGATACGGTTTCTCTGAGAGCTGCAGAGTGGTGGCTTTCACCGGAGACAACCCAGGTAAGTACATATATATATATATACAGATATTCATGATTTAAAAACAGAGAATAAAATCCTGAATTTAATCTCAGGAGTTTTAATTCTTCATAAATTAATCAAATTTCAGAATATTATTCAAGTACATTTGTTTGTTTTTTTCGTACATGTTTGACATTAATCAATTTCTTTCTTCACAAATACTTCCCCTGTACCTTATTAATATGTATTTGTATTGATATAATTGATATGTATTGTATCTCGTCTTTTCAATGGTTCTCAAACAAAGCCTTATTGATTTATTGCTATATTTACATATTGCTTTATTGTCTTTTTTACATATTGAGTTTCTTCCTGTAATTCTGTTGTCCGACCACAAGATGGTGCTGTTGTTGTGTGAGTTTGTGTAAATGCCAACTTTCAGTTAAAATATTTACCTTTACTTACATTAAATATTCTTCCCATTCTCAGTTTTCTTTATTCTAAATATATAATAATTTCCTAAAATAAGGACTTATTCTTTCCTCTTTTACTGGTTTATTTTAGAGCTTCCCTGCTTTAATAAAAACTCTGCTGCTTTTCGATGTATCTGTCAAGCTCATTAATCTGTGTGTCTACAGCAGAGACCTGATAATAATATATATTTCTTTACTCATTAAATGTGTTTCCGCTCCTCAGCGTCTCTGGCAGGCATGAGGCTGCAGCAGGGAGACATCGCCGTGAGTTTCATATTGTTTACGTCCAAATAGTAAATATTAAAGAAAATAAAGCTGTAGGATAAATGTAGTGACGTAGAAGTATACATAGCAGGAAATATAAATACTCAAGTAAAATAAAAGGACCTCATTCTGTAGGAAATTATAACTATTTAACGAAAATATTGAAATATAGCAAAAGAAAAAAATCAAGAAATGTGTGTGAAATGTGTTTCCCGTTGTCTGAGGTGTCAAGTTGGTTCATGGATGTGTGTGTGTGTGTGTGTGTGTGTGTGTGTGTTTACCTGTGCAGGTGAGTCTGGGCACCAGCGATACGGTGTTTCTCTGGATCGCGGATCCTCGCCCGGCGCTGCAGGGTCACGTGTTCTGTAACCCCGTCAGAGAGCAGGCCTTCATGGCTCTGCTCTGGTAACTATCTGTTTTAAATCACCGTCACACTTCTTCCTGTTCATTTCTAACATCATCAATATTTATCAGTTTTAAGAACGGCTCTCTGACGAGGGAGCGCGTCAGGAACCAGTGTGCAGGTGCATCATGGGAACTTTTCTCCGCCGCCTTGAGAGACACGCCGCTGGGAAACGGAGGAAACATTGGTGAAGCTCACTTCCTTTTACTACAACCTCACTTCCTTTTACTACTGCCTCACTTCCTTTTACTACAACCTTACTTCCTTTTACAACAACCTCACTTCCTTTCACTACAACCTTACTTCCTTTCACTACAACCTCACTTCCTTTCACTACAACCTCACTTCCGTTTACTGCAGCCTTACTTCCTTGTACTACAGCCTCACTTCCTTTTACTACTACCTCACTTCCTTTTACTACAACCTTACTTCCTTTTACTACAACCTTACTTCCTTTTACTACAACCTCACTTCCTTTTACTACAACCTCACTTCCTTTTACTACAACCTCACTTCCTTTTACTACAACCTCACTTCCTTTTACTACAACCTCACTTCCTTTTACTACAACCTCACTTCCTTGTACTACAACCCATTACATTACATTTCTCTCTCTGACTTGTTATCTGTTTTGCCTCCAGGCTTTTATTTTGACAGTCAGGAGATCACGCCTCCTGCAGTCGGAGTTCATCTCTTCGACCCTCAGGACGTCCAGGTGAGTTTCTGTCATCCCCTCACCTCACCTGAGCCTTTCCTATCCTCCCTGAATCACCTCTCCCCCCCCTGCAGGTGTGCTCCTTCAGTCCTCAGGTGGAGGTGCGCTCGCTGGTCGAGGGTCAGTTTCTGTCTCGGAGGCTCCATGCTGAGCGGCTGGGATACTCCATCAGTAAGACACACACACACACACACACACACACACACACACACACACAAACAAACACATAGGCACTGTTTCACTATTTTCATGGGTACAAGAGTCACTTCAGCAGACTGCAGTGAGCAGCAGTGGCAACTAAACCCAAATCCACTCAGCTCTCCCCTGATGATATGGGATGGATGGAACCTGGAGGACATGGAGAGAGATGTGGAGGGAGGGCGCTGGGTTTGTGGGGCACCAATGGGGGCACGGGAGTAGATGATGGGAGGCGAATGAAGCGGGAATCCAGCGAGCGGTTCAGTCTATGAATTATAAATGAGGATCAGAAAACGGAGAGCGCGAAAGAGCGATCAGTGAAGTGAAGTGAAAAAAGGAAGAGACTGGAGGATTTGACAGTTACAGTGAAAGAGCAAGAGAGAGTAACGGATAAGGATGGGAGTGAGAGTGATTGCTAGAGCGAGGGAGAATTCAATAAGGCAGGGAGGTGCAGGAAGTAAAGGCAGGGATGAGAACAGAACGGGGAATTATGGGCTGCTATTTACATAAATGATGATGGATTAAGTTAGAAGAAGGACATGGAAAATGTATCATGTTTTTCATTAATGTTGCTAAAGTTCTGTTGAGAAATGTTTTCATGTTATTTTTAATTAGTGACGTCCGTCGCTTCACCACTATAGGTCGACTTGGAAAGGCCCAGGATGAAGGTGGCTAACCGCTACCTAGCTACTTCCCATGGTCGCTGTTCTCACTTCCTGTGGGGAGTGACGCCCCCCCTGACTCTCAAATGGGCTTCCCGTTGTAAGTGCATCGGGGTTCTGCGGTAATGTGATTTGGGAATTGTGATGCTGCCTGACACCATCAACATCAAAGAATGAGCTGAAGGCAAATAAATGACATGGCTTGGGGAGTAGTGGCATACATGTAATGGGATTACATAATCAGGATACAAAAGAAAGTTAATGGTTTTCCCTTACAGTTACATGCAAAGTAATCAGATTACTGATACATTTCTAGAAAATGGGGATAACACTTTACAAAACAGTGGCTGCAGGCTATATTCCATCTGATCACTTCCCGATCTTTCAACAAGTTAGTATTTTTCTCAACGTCAAAGTTTCAAAATCATAATCTCTAAAATACGTATATTACATTTGGGACACATGAGAAACGAGCCCCAGGGTTCTAACAGAAAAAAAAAATTCACAAGGGTAGAATCATTTCTGAAGTGCTTGTGCTAATTGATTTCCACCTTTCTATACTTGTATGTTGCCAAAAACCTGAAGAAAATGAAAATAAAATGCAAACCTATTTATATCAATGGCACAAACACACCTGTAAACCTAAAAAAGAGCAGAGGAGCCTGAACATGAATGAGTCCAATAACAGAGTGTAACATCACTGTCTCTCATCAGAGCACCTGAAACATCATGTTTCTCCTGCTCTGACAGGAGAGGGGAGGAGAAGCAGGCTATATTCCATCTGAACACACACATGTTTGTCTCACACGTTCACAAACACATGCAGGCTCAGTATGTGTACATGTGTGTGTGTTTGCTTTTGGCCCACCACTGTCTCGGGTTTAGAGCTGGAGGTAAGATCACACGTACGCTTCAGTTTGACAGCTATAAGTGTGTAACTCACACAATGTGTCTTGCTTCAACTCTCGTATACACATTCCAACAGATAACAGTTGTTTTGTAACTGACCATGAAGCCATATGTCCTGTAAACTGTGCATTGAAGGCTTTGATCAATCATTGAAAAAAAGACCTTTACATATAACAGCGAGGAACAAAAAGCAGAGATACCAGTGATTCAAACCTCCCTCACCACAATGATGGGCTATGCTGAATCCACAGTTTGATGAAATCACCTGGCTGCTATATTCCTCTGCTGTAACCACACCAGACAGAATGAGACAACTGCTGCATTACCAAGGTGTCAAAGCCTACATAAAATGTATAAGTACCAGTATTAAATTGAAGTATCTTACTTTTTACCGGACAGAAAGCAACATCGTCAAGTGGATTGTAAATGATTTCAATGCCAAGTGAAGAGTCAGCTGAAGAAAAAAAACTGCAATCACATTTCTACTGAAGCAAACTAGTTCATGGGAAGTTTTAAAAAAAGATAGACAAACAGTTACTTTACACACAAGCATGTTGGAGTCTCCATGGACTCCTTTGTTTTATTCAGCAACATAGTGACATCATTATAACACACTGGCTAGCACTCCAACACATTGTACTTAACGGTTGGGACATTTCCGATACATCTCTAAGTGTTGACCAATCACAACAGAGCTGGCCAGCTAACCAATCAGAGCATACTGTGCTCTGGTTTCAGACAGAGGGTGAAAAGAGGTGCTGCAGCACAGGCAGTATATGAGAACAATAAAGAAACCTGAAGTAACCTGAAAATGAGCATAATGGGTCCCCTTTAACAACTGTTGAAAGATTTTCAATCATTTGTCCTGACAATAATATTGAAACCATCAATATAATAGGCCTGATTGTTTTAAGACTGAAGAGAACACCTTGAACAAACACCACAGATCTCCAGAAAATTAGGCCTCAGCTGAACACAAAGAGCATTTCAAGTTAATACAAAAATAAATATGCATAACATTACCTAGTTTTCTGAATCAGGACGTATACAAAACATTTACTTTTCACTTTTTGTTTGGGTAATGCACAATTTACTTACAAAAGTCATATGAAAGCCCAGCGAGAAAGTTTGAAGAAAAGGCCTGAGACCAAAGATAAATTGCTGCGATATATGCTACGTGTTTGTCCCTAAAATAAAATATGTACTTGATATATGTTATAATTCCTTGTATATGTACACAAACAAAGAGAGCTGATTCGGATACGTACTTCATACTTGTTTGTATCTAATATTTGTTTGCAATGTTCGTTCAAAAGGTGATATGCCAGAGCCAGTTTCAGTTTTGGATTTCTCTCTATACTGTAGTTCTTTTGATGGCTTTCAGTGTGTCCCTGCTGGAGTCCAAATATCCAGCAATTTCACACACACCGCCTCCACCATTTGTTTCTTGTGTCTTCTCCCCTCAGTGCTATTCTCCTTACCCAGGTTTCTCCTTGGCAGTGCCACTTGACAGGCCTGGTGCTTTCAGGGCCCCTCACACAGGAGCTTATTCGCCAGGTTGGCTTTTTGATGTCTCAGTGCTAACAGGCTGCTGGGCTCGCTGGTACTCCTCTGTTTTGTCAGGTAGTTAGCCAGAGGGGCGTATGGTGTGTGGACAGCCTCTCAGTGCGGATGAAAATGGGTCCATGAGAAAGAGATTTTCCATCTTTTACTGTCTCTCATGCTGTCATTTCTCCACCTGAGCTTTTGACACCCTCTCCTCTCTTCCAGTGTTTGGGGTCTCTCTTTCCTCTGGGTTTTCTCTGACAGTCTCCTCTTTGGATATCTCCACATGGCCAGACATTCTTGTTCCTCTTCTCTCTGTGTTTAACTTTAAAGGCTCTCTATCCTTTGCCGGTTCAATGGTGCTTGTCATTTGTGCCACACAGGGACCTCGATGGCAGAGACAATAGCCTCTGCCACTAGGGAAGCAGACGTTGGAACCCTTAATATAAAACCATTTGAAGCCACAGTGTGATGGGCTCCGACTAGACATAATAGAGGAATCCATCCATCACGATTGAAATTAGTTCATGATAAATTGAGTTGCAATGCAGAAAAGCTTAATGGGCTATTATAAGTGAAGGTTTAGTGGTCTTTTTTCCAAGAAAGGTCACCTACTCAAACATGATGGGAGCATCCATGTGTTTCTGTGAAGTTGCTCTTTCTACAGAGAGCCGTAAGGGGCCACATGAAACACCAAGATAGCAACACAAAGGAGTAGTATGAAGGTGAATTAGCTATGGCTGGTTGTAATTAGGGCTGAGAAATGTTAATAAAATACAAATTACCATTTGCCAAACAATATTGCAATTGAGGATTCCCGTTATATGCTATTAATTAAAACTCTAAGCCTATAGTTGTGGTGTACAAGTATAAAACACATTGTTTGTACCAAGAGAGCACCCTTGTTTCTACATGGATCAGCTAAATAATGTGTAATTGCTTGTTAATCTCACAGAGTGAAATCCAGTTAAAGTAAAGTCAATTTATAAATAAACTTGGCTGGTGTTTAAGCTTAGCTTGGATTCATAAGATTATTACAATTGTGGTAGGTTATTCAAATATATAATTACCCTAATCAATCAACCCAGGAGACAGTTTCACACGGGACATATTTGTGCCCTGTCTGAAATATTGCTTTTATTACAGGCACTAAGTTAGGTAGTGTAAACTTACTTATTTTATTTTATTATTTTCATGAGCGACTAACTATGGCTGTGAGGAGGTGCCGGCGTCTGCCAATCGAAAGGTTGGGGGTTCATGTGGATGTATCCTTGGGCAAGATACACTTCCCCAAATTGCTTGATGGCATGGCCAACGGTGTGCGAGTTTTTGTGAATAGCAGCCTCTGCCTCTGTATGAATACGTGTGAATAGGTGAACTTGTATATAAAAGCGCTTAATAAATTAAGTCCATTTATTTTAAGAAACAAACTAATCTTAACCCTACTTCTTTTATCTGAAAACACAATGTTTTCCTAAAAAATACTTTAATACCATTAACCTTTTTTATTTATGAAAAAAAAAGAAAAAGAAAATACCATTAACCTAACAATGTATTTTAAAAAGACTATGCATACAATGAGACAAAACTATGTTTCATGTGTAAATGACGTTTATTTTGAAACTTGAACATAAATGTAATTAACGAAAACTGAAACATGACCTCTCCAAAAGGGTCACTTTTTGGAATGGGTAGGACCATTGACCAAGCATCTCTATTTGATGAGTTGGGAGAGAGAATGTGAACCATCATGACAGTTTCAAATGGCATAACATAAAGTTAGCCTGGCAGATGCTCAACCATATTATTATATACAAGTTGAAGGTCTATTTCTACCTTTGCATGACCTCAACAAGAACCAAACAATCTCACTGGCAAAAAGAAAAAGAGCAAAAGGAGCAGTAGTTGCCTTTGAGTTAACTTTATGAGGATGTGATGTTTTTATTGGGCACTGTGGCTACATGTTCGGCTCTGTGGGCTGCCTGGTGGGCCTCCTGGTTTGCCTTGAAGGCCTCATGACGACTGCATCATTAGCAGCTCGGCTACAGTAGAACACTGGCAGGCCCACACAGCACTCATGCACACACCAACACACACATATCTTCATTTTATAACCATTAAAATAGTCTCCTCAGGTAGTGTGTCAGCTGCATCAGCGGAACCTTTTTCTGCAATTCCTTTTATTTGTGGCACGAATCCATACATGGTCATAAACGTACATGTAACATTTGACACAATCTGACGTTATTGAAGGTACATTCTGACTGTATATTTCATGTTGTTTGCTCACAAGTATACAGTAAATAATTGAGATCTCTATTTCTTAAACTGATTCCAGTGGGATATTTGGTGATTTCCTTTAATAGAGGTATTTAAACTAATGTGCTAAAGGTAAGTGACATTGTGCTCAACTCATTTAAATACACATTTCTATATATGTCGCTCAGCAAAAATGTTCAGTGTGTATATTTTATAGTAGAGTAGACATAATCTAATACTAGTTAAGTTACAGTATTTAAAGGTGCTTAAAGGGACTCAAGGCAACACAAAGGGTACATTGGTCAAATATAAACAGGATAACTTAAGAGAAATAAGACAACATTACCTCTTCATTATAAATTAGATTTATTGAGTTAACAAACTCAAGGCCCTTCCCTGATTAAACTAGGGAATAACTGGGCTACAAAAGCATGACATAAGGTATGCTTTAACACAAGCTAACATATTTTCATGTTTTGTTTCGACAACATAAAATGCGTCACTGGGGGATGTCCGAAACGTTAAAACAGTGGTTGCTAACAAGTGTCTAAATGAACTTCTAAAAGTCATCACGCATAACATTAGCCGCCTTTATCTCACAGTGGTGATGCGCGGCCAAACGACCCTGATGTAGTTCGTTTACAGCCTAGCGTTAGCTTTTTACTTCTGGCGATTGCATTTATAATTCAAAAATCAATCAGGTTGTGTTAATAAACGGAAACTACCCTTCTGATCATAACTTGTAGGTAGATTTAAAAGTGTGTTTCCCAGCTTTTTTTTAGGCGAGCCCTTGCGATGCTAACTTCTGCATTGGCCTGCAAACTTAGGTCAGCACTGCACCACTCTATTGCTGGGCTGGTGTTTAAGACTTAATTTGGTTTAACTTGGGCGACTTCCTCAACTGGTTAATGTTTTCATATTTATCCTCGCAGCTCCGAAATGTAAGAAAAAAGAATGTGTTTTAACTGCCAGAGCCAAAGCTTCCTACTGAGATGAAAACCGTTCAAGTCAAAGTGCTCACAGGGACATCCATCACACACATGAGAAGTAGCAGCAGTCTCCACACACATGTGTCCATCTGAACCACAAAATAATGAGTGTGTGAGTTCATATTTTTCCTATATGGCTCTAACCATTTAATGTCTAAATGTGTCAGACGAAAAACATATAAGACTTATTTTACTGCTGTACTGCTGAAAAGTGTGTTTGTGTGCTTATGGCTTAATGTTTGCCAATGTGTCTCTGAGATGAAAGTAGGTTGAGGACAGTTATGGAGCATTACATTTAGTCCAGAGGCTGGTAGCGGAATAGAATCCTGGGAAAGGTTAAGGGCCAGGCTGCTGTGGCCCCTTGGGGGACATTAACCCTTGAGCTGTATGTGTTTCTGTGTGTGAGTGTGTGTGTGCTAGAGTGAAGACAGGAGAGGTTGATAGGCATTTAAAAAGGAAAGAAGCTGATGGATAACAGGTAAGACTGTAATATCTGAAGTGTGTGTTCGTCAGGAGGGAAGAGTGTATTATTGACTAAACACAAGTGGCTGATGACCTGGACCTCTGGAATGTCACGCACAGTGTTTTAAATTGTCCAGAGAGAGGGAGACAGACAGACGGACTGTGTTGTCTGAGGAGTGTCTGTCAACGCGTCTGTCAGCGGCTGAATTAGCTTCAGTGTGCAGGAAGAGAGTGTGTGTTACAAAGAGCAGATGGGTGGCAGAACCTAAACATCTGAAGTGCAGCTTTTTTCTTCTGTCCTCGTCTTTTTGAACAATATCAGATTATCTCCACTGGAGGGTCCATTCAGTCCCTATAGAGGAGTGGACTGGACTTACATGAATGGACTGTTATAACTTGGTCCTGGTTTCAGGAACCCAAGTGCCCAAAGGGGGACCCCCTGACTTTTTCTCTAGGTTCACCATGAGGTTAAAGAGGACATATTATGCTTATTTTTAGGCTCATTTTAGTATTTAGTGTCTCTACTGTGACATGTCTCCATGCTTTAATGTCTAATACTGCCTGTGCTGGAGAATCTCTTTTCACCCTCTGTCTGAAACCAGAGCCCAGTCTGCTCTGATTGGTTAGCTGGCTGGCTCTGTAGTGATTGGTCTACCACTTGGAGATGTCCCACCCCTTAGCCACATACATACAATGTGTTGGAGCGCTATCCAATATAAGTGTGAGTGTTCACATCACCAGGACGGAGCTGCCATCCATGGAGGACCTTTACTCCCAGAGGCTCAAGAAGAAATCCCTCAGGATTATAAAAGACCCCCATCACCCCAGCCACAAACTGTTCTGTGTCCTGTCGTCTAGCAGGCAATCTTGAATCTTGAAAATAAAATCCCCCCTCAAACACAGATCCTATACAATTTGTTGTGGCAATCTTGGGTCATTTAACTACTAAATTGTTAGCTGTTCATTTGTTACAATGCCACCTCCTGTGACTATTTTGTCTGAGTTAGTTAAAAAATGCAGAATAAAAGTAGCCCATTCCTGACATGAGCAAAAGCAGAGCTCAATAATAGCATTACCAACTGAAAAAATGCTATTCACACATCCCAGGCCATTCAGAGACACAGCGAAACATGCATTCCGCGAGTTTCACACATTACAAAGCCCTCAAATAACACTGCGTGAGTTCATAGCTGTGAAAACCATCAGCGCTTCCCATTATCCAGTGAAAGAGGAACCTGTCTTTGGGATCACAATAGCAGACCTGTGTCAAATAGCTTTCACCACATTCCTAACATTTATTCTAACCTGCTTACATGGCCAAATGGCTTGGATTTACTGCCAGGGAATTAGCCATATTAGGAACATGGACTCAAATGGAGCCGGCTGGACTGTGGAAGAGGTCATTTCATGAAGGATGAACTGCAGTCATTTAATGTAATGACCCACCCTGCCCTTGACAAGTTAAAATTGACGTGCTAGAAAAACAAGGCAATTGATTGCATTCATTGATACAATAGTCGCCCAGTACAATCAATTATGTTTGTGCATATATTTGGTATGGCTGCTAACCGGTGATTTCGTACACACTCTAAAAGATCAACTGACCTTGTTTCTGTGCTTTACATTGGCCTAGTGTTCTCTGGCAGTATGCTGGTGGAAAGAGATATGATAGTATGTGCAAAGCTGGCAATAATGGGTTTAAAAGGTATACAATTAATACCAATGAGTGGCTTCGGCTGTCTCTTTACTGGCAGTAAATCATCAGTGACTTTGCTCTGGAAAAAATCGTCAATTCAAGTGAACAGACCAAGAACCGAATGTGAAGTGGTATCTGGTCCTTTGACTCCTGCACACCGCCAAGCTGCCACAAGCTCCTCCCACCCCCAAACTGGACCCTGTATATTAGCTGCCCCTTGCTGCTGATCCTAGGATGGGCTTAATGCAGATTCTTGATTTCACTGTTTGATGTAGCCTACTATTTATAAGTTTGAATTAATTGATGATGCAGTATTCACCTTTATTGAGTGACAGTAAGCCCTCTCTGACTCACAATCTGACGAAACACACCTGTCAACGCCACCTGCACGATGCTAATGCTCACCAACTAGCCTCAAACAGAGCTACATTTTTTTCACCAATTGCGCATTTTTACCATTTTCATTGTGAAAGAAGATGGAGCAAGTGAAGCTTTTAGCATGAGCTCTCTGAGAGGGATTGTTAGGATCACTGTAATGATCGCGGAAAAGGTAGGACCCAAATGCAGACTAAAAAAAACGGAAAAAGGTCTTGAAACAAAAGCGAGCTTTATTTAAAAGCTGATTAACAAAACATTGCATAACTTTAAACGGTAACAGAAAACAACTACACAAAAACTGACCCTGAGAAACATGGAGGAAGACCGGAGAGACAACCAAGAAACATGAAATGAAGGGAGGAAAAAAACAAACAATGAACCGACAGGGGAACACAGGAAGAGACAAGACTAAATACAGGTAGGGGTAATCACGAGACGAGAAACAGCCGGGCAGGGGAGGCAGAAACACACGGGCAACAGGTGAACACAATTAGACAATCAGACACACCAGGGAAACTAACGACAGGATAACAAGACACAGGTGGGAACAGAACAGCAAAATAACACCCAAAACAAGACAGACTAAACTAAAAACATGACATGACATTAGGATTGTGACAACTACATCCACTTCTTGTACAGTCTTTGGATGCCTTGGGAGGTCACATGCATTTAAGATAATCTACAAAACCATGGATTAACTATTTTCAATTTCTCAGTTAGTGTTGAGATAAAGAAAAGCTTATCGAGCTTTATCTGTAGGCAAGGTAACATCACACGATCCGAACATGCGCTGAGTTCACTCACTTCTGACCGGCATTTATTTTCTCTGCTGCGTTCAGGCGTCACATCGTTTTTATCCTGACAGAAGGTGCTCCACTCCGAGGGACACGTCTACTGCCGGGGGAAGGCGTTATTACGTCGGGAGGGCGCTCCACTTTCTGGGAACCGCTCTTACTCCGGAGCGCTCTACTCGCTCGGGAGTGCTCCACTCCGAGACGTTCCACTCGGAGGTGCTCCACTCCAACGTTCTACTTCCGTTCGCTCCACTCCGGGACGCTCCACTCCGGTGAGGTGCTCCATCGGAGACGTTCAACTCCGGGGAGGTGCTCTACTCCGAGGTCTCACCTCCGAGACGTTCAACTCCGAGTTCTACTCCGTGGGGAGGTGCTCCATCCGGGCGGAGTACGTTCAACTTCCGGCGGGAGGCGCTCTACTCGGGAGGGTGCTCCACTCCGGGGGAGACGTGTCTACTCCGGGAGGCGCTCTATTCCCGGGGCTGGTGCTCCACTCCGGGGGACGACGTTCTACCCAGGGGGAGGCGCTCTACTTCAGCGGAGGTGGCTCCACTCCGGGGAGACGTTCTACTCCGGGGGAGGGGCGCTCTACTCCGGGGGAGGTGCTCCACTCCCGGGGGATTGCGCTCTAACTTCCGGGGGAGTGCTCCACTCCGGGGGAGTACGTCTACTCCGCGGGGAGGCGCTGATTACCCCGGGTGAGGCGCTCCACCTCCGGGGGAGGTGCTCCACTCGGGGGAGACGTTCCACTCCGGGGAGTCCGCTCACTCCGGGGTGGCGTGCACAGACGCACTAGCCGGGGCATCCCTCCCCGGCCGGACCAACAACACGTCTTGTACATGTGAATAGTGACATAAACACATCGTTGAAACGATATGCCGATTAAATTCGATTAACACCGCCCTTTTGCTAAATTCCGTCAATCTTAAACTTTGTACGATACAAATTTCAGTTGAGAACACGGTATGAACCCTTTGCTTGAGGTTGTATTCAGTAGAATGGAACTGACGTTCGAAAAAACGGGAAAAAGTCCAAATTACGTTCAAATTCTTACATTTATTCACCTAAAATTCGGTCGTCGACGGGAAATCTCGTATCCGTCCTCAGCTGTTTCGTCGGTCGGCAACACAAACGACAAAGACATAAAACGTCTTTACTTGTCTGACTTTTCCTTAAATAAACATAGCATAGCGTGTGGACCTTCAGCGGGAAAACCCAAGTTAACTCTTTAGTCTGTCGTGACTGTTCATAGTCTAACCAATGATTCGTCCTATCATCTACTTTCACCTTTCACCTTGTACCAAAGTTCATGTGTCGTAAGACTTCCGAACTTAAACATACAAGACAGGGGTACCAATGCCGAAAAGTTGTAAGTTTATCCGGTAGTGTTGTGTCGTCGTGGTCGTGTGTGGTGTGTGGTGTGGTGTGTGTGTGTGTGTGTCGTGTGTGGTGTGGTGTGTGTGTGTGTGTGGTGTGTGTGTGTGGTGTGGTGTGGTGTGTGTCGTGGTGTGTGTGTGGTGTGTGCTGTGGTCTTGTGTGGTTGGTGTGTGTTGTGCGGTCGACTTTGGCTCGCTTCCAGGTACGCTCGCGGTTATATTTGATCATATGTTTTATCTTTTCATTGTGGTTTCAATACGTGTTTGACATAACCATACAAACCTCTCCGGTTTTTGCTTACTTAAGTTTGATGTACCTCGTAAACGTAACGTTTGGGCAGCCTGACTTCAATGAGAAAACCATACTTGAATTGAAAAAGAAAGGGACTGAGTTTGGACTTACGTAAATTAAAAAACCGCCCCGGCGGTTTGTCGTTCTCGCGTTCACAAAGGCTCGGTCGCTGACGTGCGGCATCCCGCAATAACCGTAGACCGGGCCGTTGTCGAACTTTTCCGTTGTGTGAAAAGTCTAACGAGGAGTACCTGCGTCGTCCTACTGCGTCGTGTCGGCTATATTAATCTAAACCCGGTAGGTGTGACCGAGTAAATAGTTTGCGATAGGGTTACAGACGATTTAATAATAGGAACACAAATTAATGATGCCAGCCCTAAACAAATTTCGGTGGAACGAAATTGTCAAACAGGGGGACCAGGTTACCGGGGGATTTTAGTTAGTCATAAATTTTTCACATAAATCTTTTTTTTTTCACTAAATCCTTTATTGTTTTGTTGATTTTAAATTAGTCACTAGTCAATTTACGTCACACAACTACGGAAAAAAAATTTTATCCGTAAAAAACCGAAACTTCGGTACGTTGGCAGCCACGAGAGATGTCAGGGTCTGTATACCGTCCTGCATTCTTTTCTGTCGACGTTACCTCCACCTCTTTTATGGGGGTTTCTTTTCGTATACCACAAAATTTTTACATGAAAACAAAGTCTTATACTCAAAAATACCTCAAAATACAACAAACTTACAAACACGTTTTGAAGAATAAAAAAAGACGGAGGTAATCTCTCAAACGACTCACAGCACCCGGGGAATTCTATACGCAAACACTATATCCTCTCGGACGTACATAGTCTTTTCACACACACTAGGGACGTCCGCAGCACGACACACTCGGGGGGAGGGGGGGAACCCGGCAGGGGGTGTTAGGGGAAGTTGTAGGGTCGACAAACTACAAGTCCTACGACTGTCGAGGCCGACAGACAGAGGCGCGGTTAAAAAGTCGGGTTTGGTCGTCTAAGGGGTGGTCTTAGGACTTTTTCTAACGTTTTTGGTTAAGAAGATTTTTGCTTAACTGCAAAAAAAAAAAGAAAGACCGGGGTGTGTTGTCTATAGGGGGGGGGCGGTGGGG